TCGGATTATTCCTTCTTTTTTGCTTTGCGTTACTCATTTCTTTATTTGTTTACTAAAGATAAGCTACCCACTCGACGTTCGCAAAAATCTACGCAGAACAAGGGTATAATCTCTATAATACTGCGACAAATACCGTCGAATTGCCAGTGGAGAATCTTGAATCCTACATCAATGACCAAAAGCCAAGAATCTTCTTGGAATATTTTCCATGAGGTGAAAGTATTACTTATGAGAGTTCCCAAAATATTCTGACAATTCTCCAAATCATTTTCAGAAGATTTCAAGCACATTCTTTGAACAACTGCCTGCACTCAGGGCGTGTAATTACGAGCTACCCAGGAGTAAAGACAGTGCTTGATCGGCCGATCGCGGAGCACAAGTGACGACACCTGAAAATTAGATTGAATTGCGCACAAAATGGTCCGACCATCTTGAATAAAGATATTCTAAGACTTCCCAGTAGGTAAATTCGTTTTTCGTTGAAAGAAATATGGCAACGTCTAAAGGCCCATACGGCGTTTTTTCTGAGCATGGCAGTGTCAGTTCCCTAGGCTGCATCCTTATAGGCGATGCGGACAAAAATCGGTAAAAGAATAATGAAGATAGTAACACCGACATAGAAAAACCCTTTGGCACTATCAAAGTAAAACGCTCGAGGAATAAGGAAATGTTACACCTCAGGATTTTTGGCGTGATTTTCAGGAAAAGTTCATTTGAAGTTGGCAACCTCGAATCAGCCCTATGTTAACAATGTAAAAGCAACATGAAACATCCGAACTTCAACTTCAACTATTTTGATTGTTGCATGAAGTCGCAAGATCTTTTCGGTAGAATTGAAGTTGAACGCCAGAGCATTTTGCGTTTCAAGCGAGAAATCTTCATTAGAAGTTGACGTTCTCGACCCGTTTTCCGCTCACTTTCTACCCAACTTTGAAGTAGTTTTAAGCGAAAAATTGGAAAATGAACCATCATTATGAGTCAAAAATATCTTCAAGATGACAAACTAAAAAAAAAATGTTCAAAAGTCGAGTTGTGAATTTTTGGTTTTTGTCCATAGAGGGGCGCACTGTGCGCCGCACAGTGAATCGAGTCGATTAGAGAGGTCGGACATGAGATTTTCGACTAAAATTGCATAGATTTTGATGTTTATTTCGTCACGTTTTAAATTTTAAGGGGTGCTATCAGCGGAAAATTTCACGAGGAAACCTACGGAACCACTTATAGAACCTCGAAATTTTGTATAAACGGTGTTTTAAGCGTTTAAAGTTTCCAACTTTTTTCCGCCCTCTTCTATTGACTCGATCCACTGTGCGCCGATAGAAGTCTTCGTAGATGCGCCAGAAATTGTAGTACCTTGATGCAAAACCAGGGCCAATTAAAATGAGCGGAGACGAATAAATAATCCTCGCACCTCGAAATTTTATGATTCGGGGCCGCGCACCGCGATTAATGGCGGTTCGGCTGCTGATAGGGGCAGGGCGCGCACAGCCCGACACTAAAACCCTCTTCAATTTCCACAGATTAGATAACCGGGGGTCCGGTTTGTATTAATCGTCGTTATTCCGTATCCATACTCGCGTGCCGGCTACGACCTGGATTCTGCTTCGGGTATTCTGACGTCTTGAGATGGGTCTCGAGCACTTTGGAGCCAGCGATACTCTGCCATGCTAAGGAAAAACGCCGTATGAGCCTTTAGACGCTGCCAGATTTCCTTGACTAAAAAGCGAATTTACTGGAAAAAATTTTGAATATTTTTGTCCGAATTTTTCAGATTATTTTTTTCGCAACTTGATCTAACAAATCCGAAAATTTCATGGAAACATATGCACAACTTTCCTCAAAAATACTTACATACTTTATCCTGAGATATTTGGCAACCCCCGAATGTTCATACGGCGGTTTTTCTTACTGTAGTCAAACTATCTTGAATACTGTCGTGCTAAGGACAAAAGTTATAAGAGCGTACGAGAGTTGCCAAATTTCCTCCGGTAAAATGTTTCATTTTTAAAGAGAATTGGATCGAGTTCATTGGGGAGGAACCAACTCAACCAACCCACATTAAGTTGAGAGGGTTTGAAGAGAGGTTTGAAGTTATATTCCTGAATAAGTTTCAATGTAAAAAATAAACTTTAGGTAAATTTTCAGAGGATTTACCTAAGTATATCTGAATGCGAATAAAATTCTCTAAAAAATTGGATAGAACGTAAACACAAATTTCCCAGGAAAGTCACTTAATCAAGGGAAATTTGGCAACGCCTGAAGACTCATACCGCATGTTATATCCACAGAACGGCAGTACGGATCGATGGCTTGAGCGCGAGACCACATATCTCTATAAGTAAGTAGCCGTTTTTCAAAATTTCTGCTCCTATTTTAATTTTTCGAAGAAAATAAAGCCAATTGCATATCATGAAATGTATACAGAATATTCTGCAAACAGAGAAAAAAGTCAAAGAAGTTTTTAAGATATTACGTTTAATAGTTTCCCAAATGAAAAAATAAAATGTGCAAAGGGAGATATGCGGTTTTGCACTTGAGATATGTTGAGATACTTTCTGGGTTTTAACCCTTGCCGGACAGACATCTTAGATCATTCCTGCTTACTTAGGATTCCTGACACAGGGTGAAAGGTTTTCTTGGTTTTTAAAATTCCCCCGCTCAGAACAAACAATTTCCTGACTTCCCCATGACTCTTCCATGTTTTCATGGCGCTGGAAATTTGAATGAAATGCTTTTCATAAAACATTATTGCGCAAATGCTACAGAAATAGAAAAAATCTAAAATTTAAGATCAGAAGGTCTGAAGTTCCAATTTTTGTGAAAGCAGTGGAATATATTGACATTTTTTGGCCAGAAAAGCGAAATTTAACATTCTGCAGCAAGATTCTTCAACTGTTAGGGGTTTGGCAAAATTCCTTAACTTTTCAAGAATTTCTTGCCCTGTCAATTGATAATGAAGAAAAGCAATACCTAACTGAGTGATATATCAATGATGACAAGCCATTTGTTGTCCAATTTCTGGACACTGCTCCAAAATTAAAAAGAAAAACATGGATATTCAACAGTAGGTACAGTAAAAAAATAACTTTGGTTTATTGGTTACCTTTAAGGGGAAGCAAGATTCTGCAAAATACATTCTTGAGTCAATGATAATGATACTCTCGAGATTTTTTAACTAAATGTCGGTTTAAATTGATTAAATATTGACAAGATAACTTCTCATCTAGATGGGAAAATGTTTTCTAAGTAAGTACTTTACTCTTTAAGAAACAACACAGCCGTTAAATGATCGGATCATCAGCTGGATTGTTAGAAACCAAACATTTGATTCTGAGACATTTCGAAGCTAAAATAGTCTATCATATCTCAGTACTTAGGTCCAGTATTGCTTGTGACACAAAACCACTTCAGTAGTAAGATGGACTTAACACAGATTCTCAGGCTCTAACAGACAACAATAATTCAATTTTCGACGTAAGAAGTGGCTCCTGTATTAATGAAATGACAGCTGCAGATAGTTACAAAACGATACATCATTCCACTTCGTCTTGGTCATCTTGTCCTGGTAAAAGTTCACTAAGTATGGGAGGACCGTTGAAAAATTCGTCAGCACAAGATCGATACATTACACGATGCCGATAAGAATACGTCTTTGCTTACCGGCTCCACATGACAATAAATACTTACTTAGTTTCAATAATTGGCCCGCTAAATATTGTAAGGTCGCAGTTTTGATACCTTGGGAGTCTTGCTGGATACCTATACATGTGTTCATTTTTAAAAACTATTCTCAAAAACTCATTGCGCTTAGTGCGGGTGGTAGAATTTGTTGCGATGCCCACACATTATACCGAATGAGCATTTTAGACGTATGTGAAATGCATCTGAATCTTACCTTCAGAGTACTATTGGGTCCTGTCCAAAAACTGTTTCAGGAGAGGAGGTTAATCCTTCGGGAATAGAACACAGCACTTCTTATCAAAAAATCAAACAAGCTAGTAAAACAGGCCCACTTGAACAAAACATCACAACAGTAGAGAAAAAATTACGAATGCCCAAAATTAGTAAGTACTCAGAGCAAAGAAACAAACGATCCAATTAATCGAGTGAGGACCCTGGCCAGTGTTACTCGAATAAATTTAACACAATTTTTAATGCGGTACGAAGTTGAGAGGATCCGCGAGAGAGGGACAAGTTGTCATCTCATCGAACGATAAGATTAGATTAGGGATTTAGAAGTGTGTAGCGCGTAGCGATCCTTCCTCACAACACGATCACCATTTTAAGCAACTCGACACGTAGGTAGAAACCGAAAGACGCGGAATATTTGACGGCGCAACTCGTTCGCGGCCCCAAAGCTCGTTGGGGAAACTTTCAGCGAAGCTGTGATCCAGGAATCACCGCGGACAACGATCTGAATCCTTCGAAAGAAATCCTCGGAACGAAACTGCGAAGGCAGGCATTTTCTGCTTTCAACACTTGTTCTTTGACTTCCGAACGTTGTCAAATTGTGCAATAGCTCTTCGTCATCTGCGCTGAATCTCTCTGTAAAGCTGAGCATTTAACGGGAATTTTCGTGATGAGAATATTTTGGATTTTTTCCTCATTTTGAAAGCAAAAACTGTTGCTACACAAGAAACTTAATCGATTTGTGAGATGTTTGCGAAATAAGATGATAATCTGGCAACGCATGTTTTGTATATTTTGTCTAGACAAGTTTTTTAGAAAGTTTCGATCTAATGCTACAAGAGAGCGCTACTTGTCGATGCAAGCTGAAGCTTCATTTTGGCTTCCACTGTTTCCAGTTGTTCTTTAAATAATTTTTCTCGTTCAAATTAACTCATAATTGAACATCGCTGAAATGAACCTGGAAATTTACAATAAAGCATGTAAAATATCACTTTAAATATTTTTCTGATGAATAAATTAATTAAAATAAGCAAGATTTCAGTCGGTAAATTTGGCAACTCTGGACGAAGCCACTGCCAGCCAAAACAAACTAACCTAATTTTCTTGATTTCTTGTTTTGACCAAAAAAAAATATTATTGAGGTTTGGAAATTTTAACTCTTATTTAGTGAATTGATGTTTGCTGTAGAATCGATGTTAAGTACTATTTAGGCAGTTTCTCAATTTGCTCCCTTGAAAATCAAGGATTGAGCCACATTTTTTGAAACATTGGTTGAAATCCATCCGCAACTCTGAGCACGTAAGTACCTTCAGACATGAAAATGTTTGGACTCTAGATTTTTGATGCATTTCTCTCGAGTTCTCCTTCTTATAGAAACTTCCTCCCTCGTCAACTCACAACTCAATTGTATCGAGATTGATCCCTCAGGCTGGGGATGCGCCTCACTCTCTCTGCCCTCCTTTACGAAAAATCAACTTGCACCATACTTTAACACGCTGCATGCGAATTGATTAAACGAGGCCGTATTTACTTATTACTTTTTCATATAACTATTCACCCAACTTAAGTTAATGTGTGGAAAGTTGATAGGTAGATATAGACCCGTGCATTTGGTCCAGTCCTGAATTGCGTATGGTGCAAATTGTGCATATCAACGGCGTAAGTCCGCAATCACATATCTTGTTTGCAGTGCTTCTCTTTGGTTTTTTTTGGAGGAGAACTAATCGACATCATTCCTTAAAGTTTTTGCAGAATTTTCTTCGCACAGAGAAGAAAATCACAGCAGTTATGAAGAATTCCGGTCGAGTAGTTTTCCGTTTAAACAATAAAGTATGACAGGAAGTTTGCAATGTCGCAAACTGAGTTATGTAATTTTCAACTTACGCCATCGATTTACGGGTGATTGAATTGGGCTCAGCCGGTTTCTTCGATGATTTGTAACCCAAGCCTGACAAACTGACCGGTTCAATTTAACTTATCATTCAACAAATCATTTCTTTGCTTTTTAAATTGTATAAAAAGTTTTGATAAACTGAATATGACCTTTCATCTATGTCATAAGCTAAGTAGAAGCTACTGCTTCTGTTGTCACAGTTCCTGAGCTAAAATTATATCATTGATAAAAAAATCAACTAATTAGTGAATGATAAAAAAATCAACTAATTAGTGAAAGTCTCTGGTATTTCCATTAAACGAATGTGAATTAGTAACACAATTTGTTCTTGATTTTCAGCCCAACCAAAATGGGTTCGACGGAGCCCGTAGGTCTGAACAAGACCTGGGAATTGTCGCTGTACGAGCTTCACCGTACTCCACAAGAAGCAATTACTGATAATACAGAAATTGCAGTGTCTCCAAGGAGCCTCCACAGTGAGTTAATGTGTCCAATCTGCTTGGAGCTCCTCAATAAGACAATGACCACCAAAGAATGTCTTCACCGATTCTGCTCGGACTGTATTATCACAGCATTGAGGTCCGGTAACAAGGAATGTCCCACCTGCCGCAAGAAGCTTGTATCCAAACGCTCCCTTCGACCAGACCCCAATTTTGACCTCCTCATCTCAAAGGTACTTTACCATATTTGTTCTTTGATGATTAACAATCCTTCGTTTTTGCTATTTTTATTTTTTATCGGTTCTGCAAAAATATTCATATGAACTTCTGGAATCAAACTTAATGTTAACATTCCTGAGAAACATTTTATGGCCAACCTCCTCAGGGTTTCGTGTGGTGAAAACACTTTTGTTTTATTCAGACATTTCTTGCCAGGAAAATTCTTAGCTTGCAAAAAGTGTTAACACTAGTGCATTTTGCCGAGTGGTGAACTAGACAACTATTCTATGTAGCGCGGTGGAGTGTATTTTGTCCCTTTAGCTGTCAATTTTTTTATCTTCATAAAAAAAATGTTCAAATTGGCCATCCTATTATTTATGGGTGTGAATAGCCAAGTGCTTTGTAACAAAAGTGTTTCAAGCTGAAACTGTGTATGATATGGAATGATTCGACTTTTTTGTGTTACTGCCAAAATATTCTTAAAACTAATTGTGATTTAACCGATTCATAATTGTATTTCAGTTCACCATTTGGTACTGTAAAAAGTGCTGCTCTATGGTTGACATTTCCTGAAGCTAATCAAACCAGAAGGAGATAAAAATTGTTTAGCCGTAAAGAAAAATTAGAACTTAGTGTTTTTAAGAATTTACCAGCTGGCTGAAGACGGCTTGGGTGCTCAATCCCCCAAGATTTGTGGTTTGAAAGAGAGCAGTGGAGGTTAGGAGTCGTAGAGCGCGAGGAAGTGCTGTAAAGCGACCTTTATATATATACCAGCTGGCTGTATCTTGTGTTATAATATTTTTAGTCCTAGACAAAGCAGTTGAATCAGGCAATATGTGACTTTTGTTCTCCTCATTCCAGATCTACCCAAGCCGTGACGAATACGAGGCGCATCAAGTCCGCGTGTTGGAGAAACTGAACAAGTCACACAGTCAAGCAGCGCTTGTTAGTTCCATTACTGAGGGCATCAAGTTGCAAGCGCAAAACCGTCTGCCTAGATCCAAGAAGTCCGCTACCGATGAGCTGAATGCATCAACTAACAGTGAAGCCAGCGCTGTTCCAGCATCTGCCTCCGTTTCTGCTCAGGGCGAGACGTCAAACGACTCAGTCACACCGCTCAATCAACCCCATACTTCTGCCTCGTCTGGTTCGGCCCCTTCTTCCATGTCGAGCAACTCCATTTCTTCTGCATCCGCTTCTGCCTCAGCTTCGGCCTCCGCCTCCGCCTCCGCCTCGCAGCTGCCCAAAGATCAAGTAAGTTTCTCCGATTTGGTTCCATCACAAGAATTCTCTTGAACATCAATGGAAACCTTGTATCCTGAAGGCAGTGTTTCACTATATTTGCTACGGATTCATTTTTTCCAAGGAAAACAACTTAACTTTCTCTTTGAAACTTCCACAGAATAATCTTAAGGAAACAAAAGGAAGGAGAAAAACCACGGAAGTTCTTCAAGATGTTATAACCCTAATTAGTTTTTCATTACAAGAAGGGACAAGAGTAGAACAAAAAATGGAAAGGGTAAGACAGATAATCTGCAATGTTGTAGTTGGATGTTACCTATGATATTCTAGTCTAACCATTGATATTTTCAATTATTTGAGTTTGTAACATATTTACAAGTGCTCCTTCACAATTTACACCAGAACTAAAGCACACCCCATCTTTCGCACTCATCTATAGTTCCGTTTCGCAGAAATATGCCCGTGTTAATGCATAGTTGTTAATGGATTATTTTAAATAATTTAATCAGGTGGGGAAACCAGCCAAAAAAGCCAAATCAATCGCCAACTCAGAGGCAGAGTCAGTTGAGTCTAGCCTGGATACATCAAGTCAAGACTCAAGTGAAGGATCTGATGAGCCTCTCAACATGAACGAAATCGAGCTGGTCTTCAAACCGCACCCAGCTGAGATGGTTGGGGATGAGCGGTACCTAAAAACAACTTCAAATGCGACAGGTATCTCTTCCCACCTTTTATTTCAACTTTCTTTGTTACAAATTTTGACTTTAAAATTAATCATGCGCTTTATTTTTCTTTTTATTTGCACAAAGTAATACGTACAAAATACACTTTTAGACATTTTACATGTCTTTGAAAAGCTTAATTAAACTGTAAGAGCAAATACTTAACTAATTTTACAAATGTTAACACTAAGAAAAATACTTCCTTAAAAATATCCAGTAGAAAGTAAAGACATAATTAATAGTAAATAAAAATGTCTTCTTGCTTCAACAATTATTGCAGACGACCGGCACTAGCCAAAATCCTAAGAACCCCCGATCATGTCCAAAGAGCATGTGGAGGCACGCAGATTATTCTATGGGAAAAATTTTGTGAGCCCCTGGATTCCAAGCTCATGAGGTTTTTCGCCGTTTTAATTGTTGTTTGCACAGATCCCATTCCTAGAAGACAAGTGCCTCTGGGTTGGGTCGCTGATCCAATCGAGTTTCATATAAGATGTACGTTTAGCACTGTACTCCTCCACAGAGTCGATGTTGAGGTCAGCGCAAATATTGATTTCAGTAATTTTTGTTGCGTGAATTATGTTCAACGCAAAATTTTGGAAAAGGAACACATATTAGAATGCTTAAACTCGTACCTTATGTACTAGTCTGTTATTGTATCATAAGAAAATTTGATACATTTGTTCTGTATACTGTGGAGAATTAATTATGTTATGCTCCACAAAAAGGGTCAGAAAAGCCAAAGGCCTTTTTTGTAAATAATTTCTCGATTATGAGTCTGTTCTCATTGACCTGTCTAATTTTTCAGTGGACCATCTGAGCAAGTACCTGGCAATGCGTTTGACACTAGACTTGGGCTCTGAGCTGCCTAACCGAACGCTAAACTTTTGCATCTACATATCCCCGCAGCAGAACCAACTCGTCGTCCTTGATGGGAAACAAACCCTGCGCCAAGTCAAAGAGAAGTACTGGAAAGCAAATAAACCACTGGAAATGTTTTACTCTTGGAAAAAAACGTAATTTGTCCAACTCTTCTGGTAAGTTGCAAACGAAGTGCCCTGTTCCTCCGTGTACTTTAAGTAGAAAAAATAAGCATCAAAAACCTAGCAGTTTTCCATTTTCAGAAGATATGGCCCTCTTAGATCGCTTGAGCCGTAAAGGAGTTGAAGCTCCCCGAATTTTTCTTAAATTATTGAACTTGGAAAAAAACGAATCATGTTTTTGAAAGTGCTGTACTGTCAGTCACAAAAGTTATCAAAAAGCCAAACTATTTTTAATAGCAAAATGTCCGTATTCGTTAAATGAATTCTCAGAAGTTGAATGAACAATGTATGTAAACAATCTGTCATCTTGACCTGTCATATTGCCTGTATTTATTTCTGTGCACAAATGAATGGATAAAAATTATTATTATTAGTATTATGTTGTCTGATGGCCCATTACTTCAAAACTGTTTGTGCTCTCTTCATCACCCATTTTCTTTTTTGCAGGTGTTCCAATGGATATGTCTTCTTGGTCCTCGGCATTTATCAATCTTCTATGTATTCAGAACTATCGAGGAATTGTATGTGATAATTTCAGTCCTGTCTTCGGATCAATATGAAACAAAGCAACCAAAGTTTTGTGATTTTGACCCCCTTTAAAATGTGTAGCTTCTTCGATAATCAGTTTTTATTTACACTTGCTATTCTTAATAGCATATATCAATAGATTTTTGTCCCGTAGACAAAATATTTTCATTTTTAAGTGACTCTAGAATATGTCACAAGAGGATTTTAGTTATGAAAACCCTCCTGTTCTCACATGCTTGCTTTCAGAAAAAAATGTAATTAGAGCTTATTTCACTGTGAAAATGTTTCAATCACATTTATTAATTTAATTCGTAGTATTTCTACGAAAATCTGTGAGTAACTATGGATCAAAGCAAGCTAAGAGTAGAAGCGGAAAATTTCTTATCCTCCGGTTTCCTAATGCTGTTTTCTATTTTAATTTTGCGACCAGCCAGTATAAAACTTTTTTGTATTATCATTTGTTTCCTTTCTAATGACGTTTTAATTTTTAATGTTTTCGTTGACGAGTTTTTATGGAAGTGCCACGCTGGAACCACTGTCTTAGCTATGTTGCTGAAACATCTATAAGCATTTTATCAATGATGGAATGATTGCAGAAATCATTTAGTTTTAATTATCATTTATAAAATAGTCTCAGAATTGAGTATTTTAATTTAGCTAGATTTTAAATGAGGCTAAACTGCCTACTAAGGATCATTGAAGCTTTATGAGGTCTCTTAAATGTAAGAAATGGGAGGAAAAAGCCTGGGAATGAGGTAACTTTGGTGGCGGATCAGCCTCTCTAGTCAAGGATGCTACAAGAATAGGAAATATTCTTCTTTCTCTTGTTTTTATTTTTTAGGGATTTGGTTTTCTTTTTTTAATTTAATACTAATGTACATAGTTCCTCCTATCTACTCAGTGTACATAGTCCAGAAATTTTGTCCAAAGACCCGATATTTTTGTCTCCGAGCAACATGAAGTAAATGGGATCATTTTACGCGCAAATAACTGTCTCATCATTTGCCACTTTTTATCAGAGAACAATAATAACTGTGTAGTTTATATTACTATTTTTAATAGATCACGTCTCTTTTTTGAAAACACTAGCGAGTTTTACACATGTTGCATTGGAGTAGTACCGAAATTCAGCTGCAATGCCCAAAGTCTCCCCTGCACAATCTTAGTAAGCACTCTCTATCTCTCGCTCTCTCTACAGTGACACCTGTTATGACAACACTTTCTCTATAACAAACAAATCATTGGGTCTGCGTGTCTACGTATTTTTGTTGATAGCCAATTGTTGTGACAAAAAACCTTTCGGTCCTTTTCTTTATAAAGTTTATCGTAAATTAATTAAGTGTTCCCACGTCCTCTGAATCCTTGGCAGTTAAATTTTAGGTTTTTTGCAAAATTTATTCCTTTTCTTTGTCATATTAATTACTGTAATGAGCTAGCTCACCTGAAAATGTAAGCTACGTATATCACCTAGAAATGCGTAATTAAAAATTATTGTTTCCAATGTATGTTTTAAAATTTACTTTTTTACATTGTACAAGTTAGCAAAATTTGTATTTATATATACCTACCCAGTACACTGTTCTAAACAAAAACCAATTTTCAATTGAAGTCATCATCAGAAACATGTTGAAAGTTTAGGATACTGAATAAAAGGTCAATCCCTAACAATTATTTTTATTTATTTATTTTTTCTTCTCAGTCTGCAAACATAGGTAGGTATTACTTATGTTTTTTTCAACATGAACATAATAGCTGAATACTGAATTTTAAGGTACAAGTGAAAAATCATCCGGCCATTTTTCTGTCATCGCTACATCTCACTTTTTTGTATACCATCACTGTCATACTTGGCGTCAAATAATGCTACAATTTTGAATTAATTTGTATCGCACTCGCTTTATTTTAGTTTCATTGATTCTCCTCCTGTTTGACCCAAAAATGTGGTAGCATAATATCACATCATCGAAAATGAAGATGATGATTCGATTTCCTCTCACATTTTATTTTTATACTGTTCATTTCACATTATTGCTGCTAAATACACACTGTCGCTTCTTTCTCTGAAAATTGTCTCATCATTCTTAAGACTATTCCCATAAATTTAAATGAACAATCTCTGATGGGAAAGAGCATCTATAATCTGTGTTCCTGCATTTTTGTGGAACAATAAACTTGATGCCTTCACTTCACAGCCACGCACCATCCCTAGAACTGATAACTTTTCTACTTGTGGCTGACCCTATCAAATGTTCTTGAGTCTAAACTCTGATAAAAGGACCAATTTCGACAAAGCTGACGAGTAGGTCTATTTTATAGATGAATTATAAGTCTATATCGAGTACCAACAACCAATACTACCTAACTAACAATTTTGGCGATATTGAATTCGCAACTTTGCAAATACATTATAAAATACGCAAGCTGATGTTTTCAGTCTTTCCAATTCTGCATGAGAGCGCTGTAATGTATAAAAAAATTGCATATGCAACCTCAAAATTACAAAAGTAGCAAAGTTTTCTCTTCAACCTGCAAAATTGTCAATTTGCAGATAGGCGGGTTTGTTCCTTAGCCATTGATTTGGAAGCTTTCATGCTAAAAGTAACTCTTCAGCATGTGAACCTTACACAAATAGTTCCTTTTAGCATACATTCGTCTGAGTAGATTTACTTCCTTCGTGTATTTGCGTAAAAATTCAAGGAATGTTTTCTCCTAGAGGAAGACTGAGGTCTCCTTCCCCAGGTTTGGTCAAAAATAGCATTTGAAAAATAATTAATATAGGGGTGCTTAGTATTAAAGAAAGAAAATTCATAAGTTTGAAAGGGTAATCAGTCTCAGATTTATTGAAAATTGAATTCATTATCAGACATTCTTTCCGTTGATACAAAACCACTCCATGTACAACAAATAGGATTCTGGCCGTTTGCTAACAACACTACTGTTTTTAAATGCAAAACTTTGTCAATCTAGTTAAAACGAAGCCATTGTGCTTTCACCATCATCAAATTTAGTTCAAAACTTCGACTTGATTAAATCCATCAAGAAAGTCGTTTAGCTTTCTATTGCACTTCAAACTTGTAATTGGCTGTCAAGCGATCGGAGTACCTATCTAGCATTTCAAAAACAACACCGTTGGTCCAACCGAATCCAGTTTGAGGTTCGTACTCTCCGCCTCCTCCTGTTTCTCCTGCTAGCCGAATATGATACTGGAATCAAAAGATGTCAAATAAGAATTTTGAATCAGCAATAAAGACATTTTGAGTTACTCAGGTTTAGTTTGAAAATATTGTTTGGTTCATCGGTAGTCATCTTTGAAATTTGTGTGCGCTCTTTTATATTTATCATTGAGAGAAACATTAATTCTTCGTTGCAATGTTAAAAATCCATTGATCCTACTTTATGTTGTAGAATAACATAGAACATGAGGGGGGGGGGGATCTTTGAAATAATTAAAGGTGAAGAAAGCATATAGAGATTCAAGAAGCTTTCAGAACAGAATAGAATTGTAAGAACAATCTAAGTATTGCTGTTGAGCATGAAAAGCTTTTCGTGAGAAATTTTTTATGCAAAGTTCTTGAAAATTTTCCGAAAGATGGGCAAATTACGAACTTATTTTGGCGGGAAGAAATTCCCACAATTCAAGGCAAAATTTTATTCACGGGTAATATTTCTAAACTTTTCCCAGGAGTCCCTGATTTCTTGAAAGTTATTCACCCTATAGTTGGTCATTTTTCTAAATCTGAATGATGGAAAAGGATTTGACAGTCTCATCACCTTCTCTGTTACATAATTACATCAAACCAATATCCTAGGAGAATAGAGAATTTGCAGGTGTCTGAAATTTGATGAATTTAGTATTTAATTGGAAACTACTGATTGAGAGTGAACTGAACACGAGAATACTCTTGGTTCATGAATTGAACAATTATTGGAGATAATTACAATTATGGAGAGATATGACAAAATGATCTAATCTGCTAAAATATATGTGTGTTAACGAAATTGCCGCCAGATGATGTCACTAGGCGGTGTATTTTCCCACTTTGAAATACCATTTCCTATATCAGAAAAAAATTATAAAAAATACTGTGAAATCAACTCTTTAAGCTTTTTCAGATGAAGCAATAAAAAATTCGCATGCAAATTCTTCATTGTTTTGAAACGTGTTTCAATATTACAAATGTTAGAGTCTGCTCAACTAAAGTTCAAAAATATAAAGCATCTCCAATTCAAAAAGGGTTGTAAATAGACTCTGTACCTTTTCAAACATGAAGCCTGCCTTCTTGTAACCCAGATAGTTAGTGTGAACCCAGTTCTGAGCAAAACTGTAGGCAACTTCTTGCGCCTGAGGAACGCCTGTCCGGTCCAGACCTTGAATCAAAAACACTTGGACTGGGGGCCAAGCGTTAGGTTGATCCCACTGCTGTCCTGATTCAAACTTAGAACACGGTTGCCCTGTAACATGCAAATGATGTAAATTAGAGGATTCATCGGGAAGGGAAAGCGCTCAAAATCCCTAGATCAATAGAGAATATGCAGGTGTCTTAAATTTTGTTAATTTCATCTATAAAATGATACTGCTAGGAAAACTGAGTAAGAGGATATCCTTGGTCTCTAAATTGAACAATTATTGGAGAAAATATGACAAAATAACCTGGTCTGCTGAAATGCATGTGTTTCAATGGAAAATGCCGCCAGATGACGTCATAAGGCAGCACATTTTCTCACTTTCAACTCTATTTTTCTCCGATTTCCCATGCCAGAAAAAACTTAAAAAAAATACTGCAAACTCAGCTCATTAGGCACTCTCAGATGAAGCAATAAAATTTTTGTGTGCGAATTCTCCATTTTTGAAATATACACATTGGAAAATTTGAATTTACTCTGTATTTACAATATAAACTATGAACGATAATTCTTCAATGATGACATGATTTTAAAAGATTTCAATGTAAGCACTGTGTTCTATCATGAGAGCAAAAAGAACCGTACGTGCAAACATGAAGTTTTGAAAAAAATAGGCTCGATAGCAATTGAGCAGAAACTTTAATTGAAAGAAACTTCCGTTCCTTGTCAAATTGCCACCAATCAGCCAAATGACACTCAGAATCATTTGGATGATTAAAAATCGACAAATTTCAATTAAATTTTATAAAAAGGGTATTTTTCATTTTCATGTTAGGCAGATCAGCCGTAAAGGCTATCATTTGCATGATTTTGTGGTTGCATTCTGGACACACAACAAACAAATTTTCAGGTTAGAAATAGGCAGAGAGGGGCGGCATTTTAATTAAAAGAACTGCTCTCGTTGGCTCTCTGACGGAATAATGCTTCATACGGCTGTTTTGTCTGAAACAACATCAATTTGTGCGCACTTACAGCTTCCTCACTCGTATCGTTTACATACATACATATAAAGCCATTTGTGCTGTTTCAGCCATTTCAAAGATTTCATCTAAAAGAGATTAGACGAATTTTGAGGGAAACTCGATTTTGAAAATTTGTGAGCTACGGCTTTCTTCACTCTGAAAGCAAAGTTGGGCATGAAATATTGATGTAGAAACATGTCTTTCTTACATCTAATTTTTATCCTGCTTTAGGGTCCTTCATGCTCTTTGAAATAATATTTGCTGGTAAAAGTGGTTTCATTGAGGTGGACATGCATTTTGCAAAGATTGCTAGGAGCACAATAAAACTATGCACATATATATTTAAAATAAATAATTATACTTGGAAATTTCTTTGTCCCCAAGAAAATTATTCGAAGACGACTGATCGGTAAAAGATCCTCCTTTGGACTTACCATGGTATCGAGCTGTGAGTTCATTCGTGATCATCTCCTCTTGCTTTACGTATTCGATGATTCTAGTAGCAACCTGGATCTTTGGCTTTGTGTAGCTGCCGGTCCAAAGCGGTGCAAAATTGGACGGGTAAAATTGATCCCGGGGTTTCTGGCTCTTCAAGTCGTAATCAAACCAACATCCACGTTGCTCATTCCAAAGAACCTTCGAAATAAATTATTCATTTTAATTTGTGAATTAGAGTACAAAATTGGCAGCACAACAGATTACTGATGGATAAAAAAGCAACTGCAAATAACTTTTAAGGCTTTTTAAAAGGCAAAAAGTAAAAATAACTTTTCAAACCCACAAATATGAAAAGATAATGTTTAAAAAATGACAGTAAGTTCATGTTCCAACTGCTCTGGACTTAACATTATTTTCAAAACACAAAAAAAACCGTAAATTTTCAGATGATATTCTTACCTCTTCAATTGAGGCTAACTGCTTATCGGCGACTTCTTTGTAAAGTTTAGACCGATATTTATCGCCCATTTTGCCCCACCACTCGCTGAGGAAAACGGCGTTCTTGTGCATGACTGCATTGAGGTCCGTCACAACCAGGCTTGGTGTATTCACATCCAAAAGAGTACCTAGGTATGCAAATGAAAATTAGTTTCTTGCAGATGTAGTTTAAAAGTCAACAACACTACTAATATTAACGAGGAGCAGAATATTTTAATGTTTGCTGGAAATTTTAAAAAAGCAGTCTCATTGGAATGTATACTTTAGATTAAATTGCAATGATATTCCAAAATAACTATTTCTCTATAAAGTGTACAGCACTGATTGTAAATGTTGAAGATACATGCACAGCTGTGCATTCAAAGCTTTGAATAATTATTTTTGCGGAGAAGACGGATTTGGATTGCCGATGTTGATCTGGCATTTCCAATGATACACAATATGTGGATGATTTAATTTAAAAACCACATATCTTTCATACGCATACCTTACGTACTTCCATTGCAATGTTTCAAAATATACGCTCTCATTTTATTTTTTCGCCGAGAAACAAGCCAACATTATAACTTTAAATTTATACAAAATATTCTACTCGCAGAGAGGAAAAATCAGGGAAGTTTTCAGGAAATTATGGTGACTAGTTTCAGTTCCCCAGAGAAAAAATAAAGCATGAGACGAAGTCTACAACGTTGCAAATCGAGAAAAACAGTCTCAAACTTTGGTCATAGAAATATATTTTGTATCATGGCTATTCAGTAATTACCATTGTATCCACCATTTTTATTGATGAACCACCTTGATGAGAAGTCCCAACCACTCTCTGCGCCAGACTTCATCCTGCCATACCATCGCTCCCGCTCAATTTCAGTATCAATTGATTCAGCCAATTCGTAATCTTCCCTAAAATTTAAACATTAACTATAACATTCAAATATTTAAATTTAAGAGCACTTAATTTTTAAATTTCATAAAGTCGAAATATTTTATGCGATTTCCACTGCATCAAAACTTTTAAAGGTTTGATTCTATCATGTCGTGCAAAAACCGCTGCGGTCCATTTTTCCAGGTTTTAAGTTTTCTTGTATCAATCATACTTTCCAAGAGTTGATACAATCACGAAAGTGGTGTAAGCACTCGTTATGGGATTCAGACAACCCTAAAACGAGTATTAACACTATGTACTTTCATGGTTACACCTAACTATGAAAAGTATTATCAACCCAAGGAAACTCAAAACTGGAAAAATGGACAATAACGGTTTTTGCACGACATAATTCAGGTAGGAATGACTTAATTTCTGCGCAATGAGGTGAAAATTTGAGAATGCCTATACAAGTTACAGAGACATTTATTTTTTTCTGTGAAGAGGCTAGCAGTGAAAATTTTTTAAAACCAATTAATCAATTACAAAGACATGGATTTTATTGGAATGATACTCAGAAGTTTAATTTGGTAGGTTCTGATTCAACGGTAAATCTGTTGAATCTGTTTGATCTGTAAAGCATCCATGATGCCTTTGATTCTCAGCGGTTGAAACCATGGATCCTTGCTTCATATGATGTGATAAGCTTCAGGCCAATGAGAAGCATTCTTTCGATAACTACAACTTTCAGAGTCTTCATTTCAGTTTTTGCTTCATTTGCTAAAAGTTACTCTGGAAATACATTATTTCAAGATCATACAACAGCTCCATTCAAGGCCTCACTTTTGACAACATGATAAATTAACTCTAATTTGTAATCATTCCCCACCTGTTTTATCTATACTTCTAAATTCAGATATTTTAAGGTAATGAGGTATTTTAATTTGTCATCTTTTAATGGTAATAAAATTTTATCAATATATTTCACAGAGAAAATTGATGCCCTGCCAAGATTTTTATAAGCATACCTGTAAGATTCAGGTCTTGGTCCATTGGATGGAGCAAAATATCGATACATTTCGTATCTCTTGTTATCCTTGACAAACTTCACTTTCCTATTGTTTTGCCACCATTCAAACTCACTAGTCAAAGTCTGCAAATAAAAAAAGAACTCAAGAGTTAAATTACAGGTTGACAAAAAATGAAATGGCAGAAACAACTTAAAGTGACAGAAAAAGGTATCCATCCGATTAGGTGATATTTGAACTGGTAAACTGAGAGCGTTTTTCCGATTTTAGCTATTCTTTCAATTTAAAGTAACTTATGACAGAGCAGAACACCGCTTAAGCCTTCTTTTGCAGCATGATGAGAAAATAACTTAGAAATAAACATGTTACTGCATGACAACTGCCCCCCCCCCTTAAAAAAATAGAAGCTTCTTATCCACTAATCCGAACCATAAAAGTACATCAATGGTATACTGCCGTGCTAAGGAAAAACGCAGTATGAATGTTCGAGAGGTGCCAAATTTCCCTATTTTGGAACAGAGCTACGTATATTTTTCCTTGAAATTTGCAGGAACTTTAGGTCAAATTGAGAACAAAATTATCTGACAAATTGGAGGAAAAATATTTACAAATTTTCTCTATAGTAAAATATTTAACAAAGAAAATTTGGCAACACCTGATGGCTCATGCGGCATTCTTCCTCAGCACAGCAGTATAGGAGGCGCTACGCTAGAATGCTAATTATCAGGGGGCATACAATCAATCAAAAGTGTCAGGCATATCAGCGAGTTCTTTCCTCATGCAGCTACAACTTCCCCCCTTTTCTCACACAAGAGCTGTTGGTGACAACCACTCAGGTGTCAAAATAGATAAAATTACTGTTAGCATGGAAAAATAGGTCACTACCCATTAATTACTGTACCATGAACAAACACTCCATCACAATTCTTCTGCTTAAGCAGTGTATGAGAATGTTAGTTTCTTTTTTTTGTACTTGAAAATCCTGCCTCAAACCATTATTAGAGAGTTAAAAGGCACGATAGCAATGAGTTATTCTGCCGTGCTGTGGAAAAACGCTGTATGAACCTCCGGTTGTTGCCAAATTACCTTAGATAGAAATACTGATTTACTGGTGAAGTTGTGAGTATTTTTCCTCTAATTATTCAGACAGTCTAGTTCGCACTTTGATCTAAAATATCTGACAATATCAAGGAAAAATATGCGTAACTTCCTTCCTGAATAAACGTTTTATCAGTGGAAATTTGGCAACTCTCAAATATTCATGCGGCGTTTTTCCTTAGCATGGCAGTATTGGACAAGGTATGACTAATAGTACTACGTAACACGTTTCCTCTTCAAAATTTCACGAAGAAAACGAATCACACAACAGGAAGTCAGGAAATCAACTCCTGAACAACTCCATAAAATTATGATTGGTTACAGGCAAAAATACAAATGACATCATTTATTTGATCTAACTATCTTTTGATGTGTTTTAAAAATACTTATTAATATATCGTTCAGGTGTTGGTTTCTGAACTTCCCGCTGTGTGATCAGTTTTCTACGTAAGATTTTGAAGAGGAAACATATGGCATTTTTTTGGAGTTTAGATCCTGTCCTGTCTAGCCGCCCATTCTTTTTTTCTCTACACTGAACCAAATAGATGAGGAACAGGAAAATGAAGATGGGGGTGATGGGTGCAATCTCTTCTTTACAGTAACTGAGGTTTGTTTATCTCTAAGAACATGTGATGATAAGTGGCATAGAAATAGGGTCAGCTGACTGCGATTACACAACCTCATTTCTACTTCCGCACTTTATTACCTGTGTGAGGTATGACTTTTTTAGGAATTATAATTCTCACTTGATATATTTGAGCAAAATCTATCCAGATTTTTATGACAATTTTGGAGAGAGAGCATCTTTCATCTGTGTATGGGCAAGCCTGGCATGATTAAGACACTAGGGTCAGTATCTGTGCAGTGTGCGGACACCTCTCCCTTGTTCATTAGGTTGATGACAAGGAGTATGACCAATGAAATGAAATCAGGTGAGTTTATAATATCCTCCAATTTGGGAATGAGACCGATCGAATACTGATTGCCAAAATCAGAAACTACGTGTCCATCTTGCAATGTTTCAGATTTCCCACTCAAATTTTATTTTTTTTTTGAAGAAAAAAAACCCAACTATTCTGCGGGGAGATTGAAAATCAAAGCAGTTTTAAAGAAATTAAACTGCCTAGTTTTCAAAACAAAACATGGAATATGACAGGAAGTCTACAACATTAGGGATAGAGATACATGGTTTCTCATTTTTGCCATCGATAAGTTGACAAAAACATGTATTGCTATAATCACAAACCTTAAGATGTTTTTCAACAAACTTTGAATCGCTCGTAGCCTTGTAGTAACTTTCGAACATCAAGATGAGAAACGGAGGCTGAGAACGGCGTTGGTAGTAGACTCGTGCTCCGTTCGGCATTATTCCATACTTATTGACCAAATAGACAATGTTTTCAATCACACCGCGGGCCGTTTCCACCATGTCACTCAAGATGAGGCCATTGACGATCCAGTACGTGTCCCAGTAATAGAGCTCTCGGAATCGACCCCCTGGGATGCAGAACCCATTGGGAGTGTAAAGCAAGGAATACTGATCGCTTTTTTCTTTCACCTCCACTTTGACTTTCCGGGCAAGGATTTTCCATATTTGGTTTAGACCATTGGCAAACTTCTTGTATTCTGTGTCTCGGATTCGCTCCTCCAGGCTGATGTGTTCTTTAAAGTCTGGCGGGACCCAGACCTGAAATAAAGAGGAAAATGTTGAATGAGAGTCTCAAACCAGTGATCCCACGCATCCAGATATAATTGTGCCGCATGGACTTTCCCTCTATTAGTACGGACTGAATACATACCAAAGAAAATGCAGGGACACTTTCTTAATCTTAAAAAGTCCATACATATGACATCACAAAGTAACGTATCAACGCGGGCTTGGCCTGAGAGCGTATGGACTTTCGTTTACAGCGCACCCAGGAACACTACCTCAAACAATCATGTCTTATGAATGTTCCTACTAACTTTTAGGTCCTAAGAGTGAACTTGTCAAAGACTAAAATGCAGGGGTAAGGAAAGTTCCAAGGCGCAAACTAATTCTTTCCATCTAACATTTTCTTCTTACCGCCTCTAGATCAACTCTCGTTTTTCAGCTACTCAACAATCCTTTAAGTCAGTTCTCCTATCTTAAGGCTATAATATAACTAAGTGATTCGATACGCTCTTAAAAGAGCCTCGCCAAGTTTAGCCCCTTTTTTTTATACCCGAGTTGGTCAACCGGACAGCGCTCAAATGAAAGCCTATGGTAAGGCAAACTTCCATGCAAAGTTTCAACTTGAAGTGACCCCTGGTTTAGGCTGTACAGCGTTGCCAATTTTCCAGTTTCATGTGCTAAAATCAAGGATATTGGACTATTAGTCCGGTGCATAAGTAGACTATTATACCCAAGTTNGTTGAACAACTTGGGTATAATAGTCTACTTATGCACCGGACTAATAGTCCAATATCCTTGATTTTAGCACATGAAACTGGAAAATTGGCAACGCTGTACAGCCTAAACCAGGGGTCACTTCAAGTTGAAACTTTGCATGGAAGTTTGCCTTCCCATAGGCTTTCATTTGAGCGCTGTCCGGTTGACCAACTCGGGTATAAAAAAAGGGGCTAAAAAACACCACTTTTTGGCGAGGCTCTTTAATGAAACGCAAACTTTTACTGTAATCCACAGAGCTTGAGGTCAGGTTATTTTGCACCTCTCCTGTATTGACATTTAAAATGGCTGCAAACCTTGAAAACTTCGATTGAAAGTCCACCATTCAATTGGAATGTTTCTCCGTGAAACTGGGAGAAATCTTTTCGTGAAACAATGTTCTTATTTTAGATAAACAAAACAAACCTGACCTGGTTAAATTAATCATTCCTACTCTAACAAGACATTTTTTATACTGCGTTAAAAAAATTTCTGTGATTTGATTTAATATTACAATAACCACAGACAAAAACCAAAACATTTTAAACTGTCTTTTCTCGGCATTCATTTTTCCTATGTACCTAGTACTCCTGGGAAACAGCGGAGCCTGGAGGTTTTAGAGGTAACAGAGATGAACTTCTGGCATAGATCTGCTGGTATTTCCAGAAAAGATCTCGTCAGGAATGAGACGGTACGGGAGATCATGGATGCCAAACAGACCATCATGCATGACATTATGACGAAAAAACTTATTTGGTACGGTCATGTTCAGAGAATGGCAAAAGACAGGTTGCCAAAAGCGGTCCTTGATTCGGTTCCTCCTGGGAGAAGGCGCAGAGGGTGCCCAATGAGAGGTTGGAGGGAGGGGATTAAAGCAGAAATGTTAAGGTGCTCAATGCCCCAAGGTTTGTGGTTCGACAGAGAGCAGTGGAGGCTAGGAGTCGTAGAGCGCAAGGGAGTGCTATGAGTCGACCTGTAAATATGTACCCATTACTAAGAAAAGTCCTCATGAAGAAAAATGTAAAATCAGACAAAAACCTCAAGTTCGTTGCCATCTTCAAAATGCTCGTAGACAAACTTTTGCAACTGCTCCTTGGACGGAGTTTTCCTGCCATTTTGTATTTTGAGCTCTTCATACTTTTCCAGCGTGTAAGATTCATTGTACTTCATCTTCTTGTCAACAAATTCCTTGGAATCAGGGTATAGTCGCGCCATTTGCACGTCATGTAACAGCTCACTGTCACAATACACTTTGCTGCACAAAAAGAAAGAGCAGCTTTAAAATTTAAAGAAAATTGAAAAAGATAACAGCCGTTCCTGAAACTCATAAGATTGATAATACCCTTGCTACCTTGAATAGTGGAATATCTCGAACAATGGTATACCTCCATGTAAGGAATATCTTGAATGAAGTATCTTAATAAAGGAAAAAAAGCCATTTGTGGAGGGTCAGCAAAAAGATATGCTAAATTCCTTGATTTCCAGTTCAATCCTGATCAGCTAATTTCTTGAGAGGAATTTCTTAGGAACTCTCCTTGTTGCCTCCTACTTTTCAGTGGTGCATCTTGGAATTTGTGTATTAAAGAAGAAAAAAACAAAATCAAGTGTAAGTTCTACTCCGAAAAATGTTAAAGCACTGTTCTGCCATGCTAAGGAAAAACGCCGTAGGAACCTCCAGGCGTTGCCAAATTTCCTTTGATAAAAAACGAATTTCCGGGTAAACTTATGAATATTTTCTTTTCAATTTTTCAGATAATTTTTCTCGCAATTTCACCTGAAGTTCCTGAAAATTTTAAGGATAAATATTCACAACTTTCCTAAAAAAATGGACATTTTATCGAAGGAAATTTGGCAACTCTCGAATGTTCATACGGCGTTCTTCCTTAGCGCGGCAGTATTGTTACCATCCTGCATTCACTGTCCATAAAAATAATTACACTACTGTTACTTTTTATTACTTCATTCTTTCTCCGGCACAAGTATTGAATTTTGTCATGAAAGAAAGCTCAACAGGAGGCTGTTGGGCTTTTTTTCATGAAAAGCTTTTAGCTTTCAAACTTGATATTTCTCAACAAAAAATTCAAATAATTTTGAAAATACAACAGATAAGGGTCTTTATTAGTTTTCCTGTAATTTGAATTAAATCCTAGAACAAAAAGAGCGAGGGTTCAGGGTAAAGTTAAAACATTCATACTACGGACGATGAAAATTCATACATTAAACTTAACTACACAGGGCGAAAAATATGTTTCTCCAATGAATTTCCAGGAATTTTTTTAATGAGCTCGGAAAAATACTGCTATTCAACTGATTAGCCTTAACTTTGGTTTATTTCCCAATATATTTTTAAAGAAAAAACATTAAACAAAGAACTGATGCTGTAGAAATCTACGACTCCTGATCTTAGATGGAGTTTGACTTCATAAGCTCATGAAAATTAGATTACTCTCCTTATTTTTACTGAACAGTCAGGTTCATATTTTTTACGTGTTGTTAAATTTTACACAGTAAAAATTATGTAAAATGTAAATTTCTACAGCTTGCAAGAGCAATATTTTAAACTTTTGGGCACTTTCGCTTGTTTTCCACACATGCATTTGCTTTGAGTTGGTCACTAATCAGTACTACAGTTTAATTTACCTGTCGCATGAAGGTAGATAGCTGGTATAGTACATATCCTTCAACTGCATAGCATTGAGCGAATTATAAACGTTCGAAAGAAAGAAAATTGAGGAAAACAAATTCATTTTTGCGGTTCGGTTTGATTCAAAAATCATTTCTTAAATTATTGGATACTGATTATTCTTAATTCAAGAAATTTAGGAAAAGAGCATTGCACTTGAGCTACAAACAGGAGAGAATAGATTATTACACATAATATTTTAAGAGAAATTAGAATGGTAATAGGTTCTGAGAAAATATTTGACCCATCTTTCAATTTTGAAATGAAGATTAAATAATGTCAGAGGGAATCAGATAAAAAAAAACTTAGGTGTGAAAACTTAAACAGAAAAACTTAGGGGCGGTTAAATTGTTGAAACTTAACAGCATCAGGGGACGGCACAGGTATTTAAAAAATTCTACGTTGAGTGCGAGGTCACAGCCTCACTACTGAAAGGTGGAGTGCAGAAAATTTGCAAACGAAAAACTGGAAAAGAATGAAAGAAAGGAAAAGGAAAAGGTGATTAAAAATTACAAACTTGTAAGGACAAGAGCAGATAAGATTGACGAAAGAAGGTAAGTACCTGTCATGTTTTGGTTGTCAAGGCAGTTTGATAGGTACCATTTATCTAGAGGAAGTGGACTAAGACCCATATTTCATCCTTCGGAGACGGTCAATGCACCGTGACCTGATAGTCCTGGTCAAGTATTTAAAGCCAGCATTGTTTACCGTTTTGCACTGATGGAATGATGGGCACATCACCACCTGGAATTTTTAAGAGGTAAGGAATTAGGTCAATTTCTTCTGTTCAAAGGCGTACTTTCAGGAAGGGGCAGATTGGCTCCAAAATTTGCGGGGGGGGGGGGCACTCTCTCCAAGGGTGGATTTGAGGGCCTCTCTGGAGGGGGTCTGAGAATCCTCCCCCACCGTCTCTCTGTCTAAACAATAGACATTAAATGGGATGGGTCAAAAATGCCATTTGACAAGAATTAAGATGGTGTTTTCTGTACTGGATGATTCAATTCAACATCTACAAAACCGTAAAATTACTAGCATAAAGGACAACTTACATTCAACTTATCGTCTTCTAATGATATTTGGCACACTGTAAATAAGGAGGGTGCTAAAGTTGGATTTTTTTCATATTATGAAAATGATTTAAACTCTTGTCTACAAAAAAGACAAGAATTGTGCACACTCAATTAGGAATTTCTTCACTTTTCTTTTTTATTATTTACCATCAGACAGACTGCCAGGGATACAAAAAGTTCCAAGCCTTTCCATTTTAAAAACCCCTTTTCCCTCGGAAATTTCAAAGTGATGATTTACTTTTGGCTTTGAACGTATAAAATGCCTTAATTTTGCACGTAATCGTGGTTTTGCAAAAAGTCAATGCGATTCTTCTGATAAAGAGATATCTACTTAGTTAGCAAATTTCAAATCGATTAATTGGCACAAATAATCAGGAAAATGGCAAAACTTTAAGGAGACCAATTTATAATTGAAATTCATGTTTTCTGCTGACAAAATGAAATCAAACCAATTTTTTTTTAATTCTGCCTAATTTTGAAAGTTTCAACTGCAGTAATTTAATTTGAGGGATTTTTGATAATCTCAGACACAAAAATTGAAGAAATAAATTTTTAGAAAAATTAAATTTTTAAAGTGGATGAATGAGCTGCATTAATTTCTTTAAAAAAAGTCAAAATCAATACTCTGATTTTGATTATTTTTCAAAAATTCACTACCTATCCGTAATAGTAGCTAAGTTGAGATCTCCTTACCTGAGAATCTATACTGAAGCTATTCATAAAAAAAAAAATTAGATTTTGGAGGAGCAGTACAGATGATCTTCAACCTTTACTTTCTCAAATTTTTCCTGCTGATTTTCAGACAAATGGTTTATAAAATCTGATAATACTGCATCCATATTGGTAAGGGTATGCTCAGGTATTCGGCTAATGTCAACTGTACCTAAGAGCTCTTGAAGACATGATAACTTGCTTTTTATTACTTCGAAAGTGCCCTCTCTACTACTGGTGTGACTAACCAAAATCTCACCAGCAACATTATCTATAAAATCATCTGTCTGGAAGTTGTAAAAATTCTCGTTGACAGGAACAAGTGCTTTGACATCATTCATGTCTTGCTGCCGTTTCATTCGCTTTCTCTGTCCTTGATCTGAAACTGCTTTCTTCTTGAGATTACCCGGTACAGAGTTTGGCTCATGGAGGAAGATTCGCTGTTCCTCAGATTTTTCACGGATCATGTCCCTTTCAAAATTATAAAAATTTTCGTTACTGGGAGGAAAATCTTCAGCCTTGATTTCAAGTGGTTGACGCTTCTTAAGCATTTTCCGTGCTCGCTCCTTGATCAATTTCCTGTTGAGATTACCGGCTCTAGTGGGTAAAGCAGGGTTATGATTGGAGAGAAAGCGTTCTTTAGTGAGTTCGTAGACTATGTCTGGTGGTATATTTTCTGCCAGTTTATCATCGATGAATTTAGACATGACAGCAGGTATGGGATGACGTAACACATCTTCTTGCTTACATACATGGCTATGGGTTGGATGGTAATCAACATGAACAGATTTGTTCTCTAACTCCTTGACTCTCATAAAAGCTATGCAATGATTTCCTACTCTCACTCTTCCTATCTTACGGCGTCGACTTGACAATCGCTCAGCATGATTTTTTTCAGAGCCATCATGTTGACAATAATAATATTTCACAGCGCTCTTCGGTTTTTGCCCTTGCCGAGCAGTGAAATAGGAAAATGTGTTTTCTTCCTCTTCTTCCTTCCATGCTCTGAACTCTTTTATCGATGGGAAAGTTTTCGATATTTTGGGCTGGATGGTGATTACGTCATGATGAGCTAAACGCATATGTTCGATCAACTTGGTTTTGTGTTGAAACTTTTCACCACACTCTTTTATTAAACAAGGGACTTTATTTCCTCTCTCCTGAGGTTTTGAAGTAATAGATGTACATATCTGTAGATGCTTGGCTACAGATTCTTTTCTGATGAACGATGCATTACAGTGAACACACATAAATTTGTTGAGGTTTTTACCGGGATTGGCAATGCAACTGTTTTCATGACGGTCACAACTCCATTTGTTAGAAAAGGTAGCTGCACAGTATACACATAAAAATTGGGTCCTTACACCAGCGCTCACTTGGCACTTGTATTCATGACGATCTAGACCTTGTTTGGAAGAGCAGGAAGTTGCACAGTAAGCACATAAAAATTTGGAATTTTCATTGTGGAAATTACGTTCGTGACGAGTGCAGCTCCTCTTGTCTTTAAAATGAGCTTCACAAGAATTACAACTGAAAAGACTTGGTGGACGTTTTTTGGATGTTTTGCCATCAATAGGTTCCACAATTGATGGTGTCTGTGCTTTCTTCTTTGTTGGCCGAAATATATCGTCAGATGAATCTACATCACTTCCATTTCCAGGAAGCTTCTTCCGAGTAATGATTATGATGGTTGCGTTATCATCTGCAAACAAAAGGAGAGGCATAAGTAAGGCTGATGATTCAAGAGACTATGCATCATGGGTAAAATAGCAGTAAATTTGAAAAAATTCTACGCTGTAAGTAGTTTGGAACTGTGAAAGGAAGACTTAGGATGGGGATGAAAAATCGATAAGGAAGCAACTTTCTGCAAAATTTACTGTACAATCCGCTGCCGAACCCAGCGCTGCTGGCAAGGCGTCACGCTATTAACCCACTATCTCTCCGGAGGCCGATTGAACACGCAGCTCAGATTGCCTGCAACTAAGCCCACGGGCGAATGGACAACAAAAACAACTCTGTTGTTTTTGTTTCTGAAAAAATAGTAAGCATCCCAGAGGACACTGTGCTGAGGGGTGTTGCCTCCTGCCTTTCTTCTATCCAAGTAACATTATACTTGTAATTTCGATTGATGAATGAAGTTGTGGCACCCTCCCCTCGAGGTCAAACGCCGCTACCCACAGTCACCATCAGCAGCTTAAGCACGCGACCTCCTGATGGTTGGTGTCAAGGGTGCCGCAAAGTAAAGACGAACATGGGAAAAAAATGCAAAATTCAGATTCTCAGCGTTGCCACCAGGGCTAGCCTATCCAAACGCACACTGTTTGCGAGCTCCAACTTGAAACTTCAGATCACTGCATAAACAGCCTATACTTGAGATGGACTGAATATCAACAGAGGAAATCAGCAATCACATAACTCGGTTTGCGACGCCGCAGTTTTCCTGTCTTATTTTAATTTTTAAATGGAAAACTAGTCAACGCGCAATTTTTTAAACTGCCGTAATTTTCTTCTCTGTGCGAAGAAAATTCTGCATAAATTTCAGGGAACGATGTCAATTTGTTCTCCCTTGAAAGAGAGGCGGAGATTTTAAGACACCGCAAACGAGTTATGTGATTGCCGACTTACATCATTGATATGTCACTTTGGTTGAACCAAAATCCTGGATTGTAACTCTACTTCAGAGAAAAGCATAACAAATTCTGACATGTAGCTTGGCATGTAACTTACAGGGACTTGAAATGTCTGATGACATTTCAAGCGGTAAAAGTCTTGAATACAGTTTGAATTCTAAAAACTGGAAAATACGATAATAAGAAATGCGCACCTGACATTTTCTACTTCTACGTATGATTATTCACTTATATATTTAGATTCTGGATACTTCAAACTTATTATTTACCGCAAAACAAAAGTGGACAATTTTAAAAACGCTGGTCGTGTTGCGTGTTGTGAAGTGAACAACTGATAAGGATAAGATAAGGCTGATAAGGTTAGAGGCATTTAGAGGTTAGGTTGAGGTAGAGCGTGGGGAGGCGAGTGGAGGGGGAGACATGGAGACATTGGTTTGGAAGCGCCCTCTACAAGCGCACGATGGAACTATTGTCCTAGATTATCGCAATGTTGCCGAATATTGATCGATAATCAATAATTATCTCTAAATCTTTAAAAAAATTTCTAAAAATCTCTATTTGGAGTTGCATTCATCTTAAAATGGTTTACTATAAAATTTTCTATATTGCCTGAAGTGTATATAGTTTATTCATATCGTGTGGCTTTTTTTAAAACAATTATCGATGTCTATAAATTTTAAATATGAATCAAATGCCGCTGTAACGGCATATTCTGAACTGATTGGGAGTGACTGTTCATATTCGTGGCCAGAATTTTGGCAGAGTAGTGGTTTACGTGTTTCAACGGCTGCGCCAAACCGTTGTCTCTCATCCTTCACTGAAATATAAATATCATACCTGTAAATTAATCAACATCTAAATAAAGTTCACACACACTGAAGGCAAAGGGGATGTTCTGAAGTTTTTTGACTGAAAAAATCGCACTAAAATATGATCCTTAGTGTATTTCTTACTTTCAATGTACTGAAGATCATATTTCAGAAACTTTAATGCTAGAAAGAGGAAAAAATCCAGATCAGGCTTGGAGATACCTACATATCTAACAAAAATCAATTTACGCGCTAGAGCGATTGAAAACTTTACCGCTGAAATAGTTTGTAGCGGGTTAGCTTTCAGATAAGCACTTACCACGGCAAAATTTGAAGAGTGAAATTTGTAAAACAAACCCTACTTTAACAGCGTTTTGTACGTCGAAAACTTCAAGCAAGTTTAATTTTGTTTGAACGGTCGACTTGCGTAAATTCAAATCTCCCGCGCAGACTATCGAACTTGGTGCCTGGCGCAGATTCATGAGCCGAACGATTTGACAACATTGCACAAATTCAGTTTTTTGTTGCATGGGGCATCGGTCTCTCGAAGAAAGGATTTTTTCGCGAGTGATTGGTCGAAATTGGAAAGGAGAAGATCGCGAACCGTACTTCGAGAATGGAATTACTACTTATTAGTTATTAGTGGTAGCTTTTAATAAATAAGAAATACTCAATTATTTTCGCGGCCTCTCGTTCGGCATTTTCATGTCGCATTTCCAGTGAAATCGCACCAAAATCACCGAAATTCCCGCGATGCCCTCTTTGAAGTGTTCATAGTGTTGTGTTTCCAAGCTGGCTAGAGCCAGCTTTTGTCTGTGTTTTTCATTCTGAGTGCAAATAAAAAGTGATGTGATTGCCCTCTTCGCTCGGACAATGCTAGCAGCTCATGGAGTCTCTTTATTTTTGATCCTGTTTCTACCTTACATTCATTGTGGTGAGTCTCAAAACTTCCTTTGTTGATGTTGTAGAGCCTATTTATTTCCTTATTTTTGCACCAATATTCGCATCAAATATTGTTTACTCTTAGTTCCCAGAGTTTACATGATTGCAGTCCTCCAGGTTCACTTCGAAATGTTGCTATTTGCAGTGTTACCTTGGGTGCCTCATTCCTAGTTGTGGATCGTTAGAATAGGTGTAAACACCTAACCTACATTCTGAACCTACTTATCAGGCGAGGGTTTCCACACATTTTCATCTTGCGGGAGTTCGTTTACCCTTATCGTTGAGTTGTATGTTACCATATTTTATGCCACCTAATTGTGGAGACGAGTGCAGCATCAGAAATAACCATCTTGTTATCTTCGGTTGCTCACTCGGAGCGATTGGCTCTGCACTCTCCCATTTTGCGCTGATGCTGACAATATTCATTAGACAGTGAGTTTGTTGCAAATACATCTTTAAAAATGAACAGAAGTACCTACAGGGACGCATGTGATACTTTGGATTGCATTGATAAGAGGAGATATGCAAGGGTAAGATGGAACCTCTTTTGATGTAAACAATCAAATGAAAGGCTTTTTATTATCCTTGGAATGCGATGAGTTGGGTCATCTGCGGTCGAAGCAGTTCAGCTTAAGGTTAGGATTGGATGTAGCGGCTCAGTGGCCACTGTGGGAGATCAATCCAAGTATTAATATCCAAGAGTTCCATTGGGGCGCATTGATGGCTAAACCATGGCAATGGACCGGGAAGAAAAAGTAACACTGTTCATTGCAGCTGTATGTGTTCCAGATAGATTAAAGAGCCCCCAAATGTCACTTAAATATTGCCAGAAAACTGGCTTGACTGGTTCGTTTGGTCAAAGTCAACTTACTTAAATATCTAGCGATACCATTCAATAATATATTTTTGATCAATTTCTTCTGGAAACTGAATTTGTGCATAAATTATATACCTACTGACTGATTTTTTGCTGTTTCCTCCACCATGGTTACTACGATAACTATGAAAATTGGACATCAACTAGACATCGATGCTGACTCGATTTTAATATTATCAAGTAATTTCTACCTGGAAATTCCACTGGAAATACTTTTATGACTTTACACTTCAATAAAAGTCCTGTAAAAGTCAGCATAAGCCTACTACTTATGGATTAAAAACCCTAAGGCTAAAGTTGTGAGCGCTGTTTGAACCACACCAGTAACGCTATAATTTTGAACTGTCTCCTAGTGACATTACTCAGCTCAAATTTGTGCTCAACAAAGCCCTTTTTTTCAAATTTTTAACCACTTAAAGCCTGAAAAATTGCTTTTAAGTAGGCATGCAAGCACTAAACAAGCCCTACACACCGGCTACACTGCAGTGGGAAAAATATTCTCCAAGATCCTGAATCCAGACTCATAAATAATTCGACTAGATAAAACCAAATTCAACAAGATTTTTGCTTTCATCAAACAGAAATCCACTTAAGCAAAAATCCGATTGAATCAAGAGTATATTTTCTGGTCAAATTTCTTATAAGGCTAGGGTCGATTATTGAAATTGATAGACTAAGCTTTAGACAAAGTCAACGAGAGGTGCTCAGAAGGATCCAATTAGTGGAAGCGGAGGGTTGCAATGGACAAAGGAGGTAGGTAATAGACTAACGAATGGCAACCCATGAAAGACCCTATAGTATGTCCATTTCCTCTTGCCATTTTCTCCCTTAGTCTATAGGAACCACTGATTTCGACCAATTGGATCGCTCTGTACTCCCGATTTCTTCTTTGTCTATAGCTTTGTCCATCAATTTCAATAATCAGCCCGCTAGACTCTAGATCTAAGAGTCTTTTTTCTAGCGTGAGAGGCCGGCGCGGTGGAATTTACGACTTTTTTAAATCGAAATTCGGAGTTAAGCTCGATTTGCACTATGCCCTGCAGTTTGATGTTTGAGATTATGAACTAGGAATGTTTGTACCAAGCATTTCGATAAAATCTGAATCTTTTTTAACATGATAGATAATAGAACGTTCTTTCAATCCCGGCGAACGCCAAGAACAATCGAAGGATCTATGAAGTTGGGTTCGAACATAGCACGCAACTATTTTAACTCCGCGGTGGGCCGGGTTGCATACCCTAGATTTTGCCGGCGAAATCAGAGATGTGACCAAGGCCACATATTTTCCCTCTGTTCTACGCTCATTGCATAATGCAAATGCTGAGTTCGTCGTTTGGAAAGCATCTATCTCAGTTTGTTGCTATAGACGCTATTAGTGCAACGTCACAGAAAAGCGATATTTATCGATTTTTTCGCATTGGTAGCATTGAAAGAGGTTATGCCAATGTTATTGTTTGGATCCAATTCGATATAATGGAGAATCCCTATGATGAGTCGCCACTAATAGCGTCTATCGTCATAGTGGCACAAATCTGTGCGTCCAAATAGTTGACCGAAATAGACGCCATTCTCGAGGAAAATACTGATTGCACCCGTGCCCTGTAGTGAAAGCCGTGGGCAGATCTCATGTTTCGCCTACAAATTTGAGTGTAAGTATGCAACCTGGCCCACCACGGAGTTGAAATAGTTGCGTGTTGGGTCCGAACCTAACTTCAAATATTCTTCCATGTTCGAATTGGGTTTTTGAAGAATTATGTCATGAAAACCTTCACCGAAAAAAAAGGTGCTGACTTTAACATTCTGGATGTAAAAAAGTGTACCTACAGCATCTCACAAAACGCTAAGTTAACCGCCACCGCAGTTGGCTTTACTTCTTCACATTGCTATAGTAACTGCCATGGCGGTTAACTCAGCGTTTTGTGAGTTGTTGCACACTTCTTTACATCCGAAATGTTCAGTCAGCATTCTTATTTTTCGGTGTTGCAATTCCACGAGTTTAGGTTTTCTACACCCCTAATTTTCAGCTTTTCTGATGGTCACCCTNTTGAGTTCAGTAACTTTTCAACTTCTCGGCTCCTCGTAAAGTTTCACGTCAATCCACTTCTAGGAAACGGGAGCCATGACTTCCGCGGCCCGACCAAGGCGAACCACTGGCATTGATTATCGATATTTCCCCATTTGAAGCCATGGTAAAGAATCGATTATCAAGGTGTTCGTTGCGGACACCCTGTTTATCGATCCTTTTCCTTAGGTTTAAATGGCAGATCAATCGATATATCGCAAAGCGCGCCACGCCACCGAGACGAACCCTGACCGAGAAAATTGAAATTGACGAGCCGGGCAGTAAGTGGGAGAGAAGGGGGGGGGCGGAACTAGGGGGTACGTCGCAAGGGGGGGGGAGGAAAGTCCTCGGCCTCCCGAGTTCCGTGGCTAGGTCATTGTCTCTTTTTTCGGGTCGCCGCTGCTTCCAGCTTTTTGCCGTACACCTACGCACGACGAATAACCATTCCTATTCAAGGTTGCCAGATTTCGCACTAAAATTTTGATATATTTCACGGGCAGGGTATCTGCAAGTCTAGAAGTTCCGGAAATAGTATGGATTTTTTAAGGCCGGTCGGGAAATACTGAAGAAGTGCGGAAATTCCGCAAGTAGATCCGGAATATTTTTGTCTTAATTTGAGCGAGAAGTAGAAATTTTTGAAATTGTGTTAATTGGAGGCACTGAAAAAGTACTGAATAGAGAATTTGCAGGCGTCTAAAATTTAATGAATTTCTTTTTTTTTATTGGAATCTACGGAGTGAACTGGACACGTGGTTACCCTTGGTTCGGGAATTGAACAACTATTGGAGGAGATATGACAAAACGAGCTAATTTGCTAAAATACGTGTGTTTAAATGGGAAATGCCGCCAGATGAGCCACTAGGCGGTGCATTTTCTCATTTTTAAATCTATTGTTAAACTATTTCCCACATCAGAATAAAAAATTTAAAAAATACTGTGAAATTAGCTCTTTAAGCACTTCTAGGTGAAGCAATTAAAATTGTGCATGCAAATTCTCCATTTTTCTGTTAAGGAGCTACTGAATTTCTTGGGGATGTACTGAAAAAGTACTGTTGGGGTACTGGTTTTCGGCTAGCTTGTTTTAGCAGACCTGACACCCCGCATGGGTTTAAATTGAGAAAAGTGCCAGCACTAAAACCAACGATTCAGCAATATCTGGCAACAATGTTCCTATTTCGCCATCGCCGCGATTCCTCGAAAGCATCGTGTCCAGCAGGCTCGTAATTGATATTAATGGACAAAGCGTTAGACAAAGGGGCAATGGAGTGATCCTACTGGCTGATACGAGTGAATCTTGTAGACTAAGGAGGGGGAAAGGGATGCAGAAAGTGTAGCTCGTCGAAGCAACGTCACACAGAGGATCGAGTCAATGGGAGAGGTCGGACAAAATTTGGGAACTTTAAAAGCTCATAACTCCGTTTTTACAAAATTGTAAGATCCTGAAAATGGTCCCATTGGTTTTCTCGTAAAATTTTCTTTTTAATTCAACCATCAAAATTTAAAATTTGACGAAATAAACATCTAAATTTGCAGTTTTAGCAAAAAAAAAATCCTGTCCGACCTCTCTGATTGACTCGAACCACTGTGCGTCGGATTGTCAGAGGAAATCCGAAAAACTTAGTAAATTCTCAACTGTGAGAAGCCTGGAAATTTTGCCATCAAACGTTGAATTTTCTTGTTCTGTTGAAACTATTTTAAGTATGGCTTCAATAGTATTTGATTCAAGGTGCGAACAAGCCATACAATCGTAGGAATGCCATTCAGTATTTCCATGATTTAGTTTGTGCATGCCCTATACTTAATCGTTAGAAAGTCATACTAACTACATTTAATAGACTAAGTTGTAGCAATCTAGTACTGTTTACACCCCTGAATTTTAATAATAATTTCATCATTTGTCAATATTTTTCACAATTTTTTCATTTGTTTTCATAAAGTTGCTCAAATTAAGTTGAATTTAGCTCAATAGCAACCTCACGACGATGTTTTTGAATTTTTTGACGAACTGTCGAAAACATTTTTAAATCATTTTATAAATATTTTTGGCTCAACT